AACCTTTGTGATCATTTGAATGGATGGGGGCCTTCAAATCTTGACAAATTTTAGGAAAAATTTGTGATGAGCTTGAGGAAGAGAGGGGAAGAACAGAGGAAGTGAGGGGAAAGGGGAAGAACAGAGCGAGCTCGGGTGGATGAAGGGTTTATGTACGACGACCTTTAATACCGGTTCGTGCCACGAACCGGTACTACAGGTGCTGGAGGGGCCCCAGACTGACAACATCCTGTCACCACTCTCTTTAGTACCGGTTCGTGGCACGAACCGGTGCTAAAGGTTCGCCACGAACCGGTACTAATGAGAGCGGCCGGCGAGCCGTTGGAACCGGCACTAATGGACACATTAGTGCCGGCTCAAAATCAAACCGGCACTAATGTGTCTCAGATTTGACCCTTTTTCTACTAGTGGCTGAGTCATGCCTGGTTGGCAGATGCTACGCACGATAGATCTTTCAGAGTCTTTGCATCTAGATGGACGAGCATAGGGCGGTGGCGCCGCTGGGCACCGTGGTGGTGTCAACTGATGTCCGGATTGGCAAGGATGATGCGGATCTCTCTCCTGAAGATGGATTAGCGCTCTGATGATGATGGCGGCTCCTAAAACATATGCATGTGGTGTGCGCTTTAGGTAGGCTGCACCGGATGTTGGTCCCGCTATGTTATGTGGATGGATCGGCGACGACACTGGTTTTAGATATGGGGAGTGACAGCACTCCACGTTATCAAATATGTAGGTGTGAGTGGTGGCTTCAGGTGAATTGATGTATGTTCCTGTCAGTTCTTTGTGGAATAATTAATAAAGATGGTTGCATGCATCGATTGATGCAGATCCCGGGGGTTAACCTCCTTCTCTAAAAATAAAGAGGCGGCATGAACTGACTTGGAGAGGTTTTCCAAAAGAAGACAACCCATGATACTAATTTGCAATGGTGCTGAAACCCATGGTCTTAAAACTCATGGAGAGTGCTAACGTCAAAGTTTGGCTTGAATTAGCAAGGGTCGCGCGACCCCCTCTATCACAAATTACGACGTCCATTCTCCCACGATATGAGATGGTAGGCCAACGTGCTCGCCAAGTGCAATGTGAGCCATTGATCTAGGCGAAAACCCTTCTTGATCGGTCGTCGACCCCGTCCAGGTAAATGAGTCTGAAGGCTGCCCTCTACCCTGATTATGTAGGCACCCCTCAGGCCTTGCAGCGGCTCGGCTGTCGAGGTGGTACAAAACAAGGCGCTCGTGTACGCCTTTCGTTGTGCTCTGGATACTGCACGAGGCCATACGACTTGTCCAAGGAGGGAAGGCACGCCCACGCCTACGACCCAACCAAGAAAATATCCCCAGCGCGTTTGGTTTGGGGGAATTAAAGATGCGGAATGGGAGTTTTGGGGTAAGGAGATTAAAAGTCCACTGTTTGATTAGAGGGAATGAGAGTTTAAGTGGGAGGGGAGTGAGAGTTGAGGAAACCAATTCCTACCTATTTCTTTCCGGTGGGTACCCTGTTAATTCGTGAGCAGAGATTTATCCCGTGCTAATTCACGCCATATACCAAACAAGGGAATAGGAGTAAAGTTCAACTTTTCATGACTAATCCCTGCATAAACACCCTGATGCAAACTCCCATTTTCAAGCCCAAGTGTTTACCCGAGTGTGCGAGCCGCTGGATCGGAACGCCAGGATATGTGATCGGTGGGTTGGTACCGTCAGCAGATACACAGTGCCAGAGAAGAACAGCGTAGGACATACGGAGACATACCACCCAGCCCGTGGGGTCGTCGTGCGGGGACCGTGAGATGACGATGACGGCTTGAGCACGGTGTCGTACGCTACTGTCTACCTAAAGGCTGTATCTATTTCGTCGCTGATCTTCAACGCCTCGATCGCATGGGTAGAGAGATCAGCAGCGTCGTTCTCTCTACTGTAGCGTCATCAGTTGTTGTCAGAATACTTGGCTAGATGATGCCCAAGCAGCCAAAATTCCTCTTCTTATCTTGTCAATGACGTAACAAATGAATAAAGAGCGGCACGCAACCACGCAACCCTGCTCCTCTTGTCAGATCCTAAATCCCTACCCAGGTTGAGGGACTCGGTATTTAGAGCATCTCCAGTCGTGCCCCCAACAGGCCCTCCTCAGGCGAATTTTTATCGCCGGTGGCAAATCGGCCTAGTCGCATTCTCAGGATCTCGTTTAGTGCCGGTTTGGGCGAAATCCAGAGCCGGCGATCTCGCCCCTAACCCAAGCGGCTGGGTGTCGCCTGGGCGTGCCAGCAGAAGCGAAAAGAGGTGTGGGGCCGCATTGTCGGCGACAGGAACCCCTTTTCCCGCCGTTTCCTCCTGCTTCCCCCCCTCCACTTCCCTCTTTTCTCCATTTCTCCCGCCAAAACCCCGCCTCCTCCCCCTTTCGCCCATCATGCCGCCGAAGAAGTACGTGATGCCCCGCGCCGCGGCGGATCCCACAGCCGCTGCCGTCGTCCAGCCGAAGCAAAGGAAGCCGAGGGCGCCACTGTCCAAGCCCCCCGGCATGAGCAACGCCGAGTGGAAAGCGGATGTGGAGCGCCGGGAGGCCGTCACCGTCGACACGCGCAACAGGGCCAAGAAGGCCAAGGAGAGAGCGGCGCATGCTGCGGCGGCGGCGGCGGCGCATGCGACCGAACAAGCTGAGGCGGCGCGCGCGGCGATGATGAATCCACCCGGTGGGCACCCGTACGCGGCCTAGAGCCAGCAAAGCGTCGGCTCACCGGCCGGGTTCTCGTCGTCTTCGCACCCATGGAGCACGCCGTCGCTGGGCTATGGCGATGGTGACGACCATGGTGGCTTCAACCCCAACATCATGTTCCCCCATGGGCGCCCAGTCCAGCGCACACCCTCGCCCGCGTTCGCCGGCGTGCAGTACCCGTCGTACACGTACTCGCCGCCGGACTATGCAGCCTCACCGACGCCACCACTTCGCCACTCCCTCTACTCGTAAGCCTCCTCGTCGTCGCATCTCGGCGACACCGACGCGACAGAAGCTGACATTGAAGACATCATCGCAGCCGGCTCGGCTGCCACCACCGCTTCCCCTGGGTTCACTATCCAAGACGGCTCGATTGACCTCGGCGACATGGACGACGAGCTCGACTACGGCGAGGAAGAGCCGGAGGAGGAGGAAGAAGATGAGGAGGAGCCAGCGCCGACGAGGAAAGACAAGAAGAAGAAGAAGAAGAAGAAGGCCAAGACCGGTGAGTCGCGCATCAAGTGGGCGTCCAAGAAAGAGGAGTGCCTCGCCGAAGCGTGGAAGGTCATCTTCCTCGACCCGGTCACCGGCACGAACCAGAGCATCGAGACGTATTGGGCCAGCATCAAGGCCGAGTTCGACGAGCGGAAGCTCGTTGACCCCAACTTCAAAGGTGTGCACATGAAGCGTGGGTCGAAGGCGATGGCGAAACATTGAGGGCTCATCCAAAAGGCATGCAACAAATGGCATGGGATCATCGAGGAGCTCGCGGCTCGCCGGGAGAGCCGCACCAGTGTCGAGGATCAGGTATAGCACACCGTCCTTACTGTTGCCTTTCGCCATGTGCGTGCACTTTCGCCGAGCGCGCGCCCTGGCGCGCGCTAGTGCCGACTGATGTTCTTTTCCTCGGCGCAGCTGCTACGCATGTTCGCCATATGACAACAATGACGTAGAGTTCAAGTACCTCCACGTCTTCAAGCGGATCGACAAGTGCGAGAAATGGGCGGGCGTCCGACGCACCCTCGCCAAGGCCAAAGAGACGTACAAGCCGGACGCGCCGACTGCGGGCGCGTCCGCGGGCGCCCGGACGGCAACAAAGGTGCCAAGAAGGCGAAACACGCAGAGTCGGCTGCCGCGCGCGTGCAAGAGTCCATCGAGCACTGCCTCGCCGACGCCAAGACCAGGTCCGCCCAGCCAGAAGAGAAAACTGAGGCGAGTGGGCTGTTTTGATGACGAACAGCGCCGTCAAGCTCGACTTGTTCCGGACCAAGCTCAGGGCCGCCGCGAAACTCAAAGCTCAAGACGTCAAGAAGAGGAACAACGACCTCGTCTTCTTGATGGGCGGCGCTGACATGCTCCAGAGCGGCGATGAGAAGCTCAAGGCGTGGTTCTTGGCGGAGCGAGGCCTCATCCTGAACCATATACCGGCAACGCCAACGCCTCCGTCAATGCCGCCGCCCAGCCCGACGGATGATGATGCCTCCGTGACGCCCAGGCCCACCGATGCCTCCGCCGCGCACAGCAGCACAGAAGCCGCGCCGACCAGCCCGGAAGCCGCACCGACCAGCCCGGAAGCCGCGCCGACTCCTCCCAGCCCGCGTACGCCGACGCCGCCGCCCATGGTGGAGCTCGAAGTTTGATGCACTCCGTCCGCGTCTCTTTTTTTGTACGTCGAACTACTGCGTGTCCTTTCATTTTGATCGCCGAACTGTGGCACCGAATCGCCGAACTATTGTGATGATCGACTGTTTGTGGTCTTTTTTTGCGGGAACGATGGGGTTCGAATATGGGGCTCCTTGGGGGTCACCTGGGGGCGTGGCTGGGGAGAAACGAACCCCAGGGCCCGATCTAGCGCCGGTTCGCACTCAAGGCGCTCTTTTTCGGCGGCCTGGGGGGCCGAACGGCTCGAGATGCTCGGGTGTCCAGCAGACTACTCAAGCAACATCTTATACAACTGATGACCACAAATAGCTGTCTGTTCACAAGAATTCAGAAACACAAACTTCCTTTTCTGAGAATCGACACATTTAAGATTATGCTTTATTTCCAGAAACAGAATCTATTGATATCCGATTAGTTTATATGGAAAAGTAACGACTGTGTCTACCACACACACAACATGCATGCATTTGCAAGAGTTTGAAAATTCCAGTTGCTAAAAATAATCTAGAAAAATAAGAAGCAGACGGACTGCATTGTTCTGCTTCAGTTTTCCTTCAGTTCTCTTGCAATGCTTTAGCAACAGATTTGTAGAACATTGAGTTGTCAAGGACGTTGCAGTAAAATCATCGCGGATACCTTGCAGACAAGAGTATTTCTTCCTCCATAGTGTATTGCCTGCTTGCTTCCACAACAACTCCTTCAGTTGGCATACATACAGATCCAGTTTGACCCCTGTCGTATCTCCTTGTTCCAGCAGCATCAGGTGCCACAGACATGCTAGCTCTCAGATTTTCAAGTTTCATCTCCACTTCCCTCATTGTAGGCCGCTCTTCTCCCTTCAAGTTTATGCACATTGCTGCTAGCATAGCTAATTCCTGGACTTCTCCATCTCCCTCTTCCGTAACTTGGGGATCAATTAACTCATCAAGATTGCCTTCTGCGAGTAGCGAAATCAAATGTGAAATAAGACCAACACCGTCGCCGCCACTACGGTACATGCATGACTTTTTTCTAGTTAGGAGTTCAACAAGCAAAACACCAAAACTGAAAACATCACTCTTGTCTGTTAGGCCGCCAGTATAATAGTACATAGGGTCTAAGTAACCTATTGTTCTTTGCACAGCTGTAGTCACCCCCGTTTTGTCAATTGGAATGTACCTCGAAGCTTCAAAATCTGATACATTTGCTGTCAAATTGTATCTAGAAGTATGTTGGATGATTTAATATCCCTATGATAAATTGGCATCGAAGCAGCCGAATGAAGATAAGACAGAGCCCTAGCAACTTCCAGCGCAATCCTTGTTCGATCATCCCATGACAGTGACATCGGGCCTTCAATATGAAGATGGTGATCAAGAGTACCATTTGAAATGAACTCATAAACCAGTAAGGGGACTTCTCTCTCAAGACAACATCCGATTAGTTTCACAACATTTCGATGATTGATTTGAGAAAGAATTGCAACCTCGTTTATGAAGTCATCAATTTCTCTCTGTACGACGATCTTGGATTTCTTGATGGCGACAACCTGTAGGTCTAAAATTCCTTTATACAAAACACCGTGGCCTCCGCCGCCGGCCTCACGAGTTCTGTCAAAATTGTTTGTGGCCTTCTCTAGATCCAACAAAGAAATGATCATCCTTTCACCAAAATCTGTTTTCTGGGATATTAGTTGTTGCAATAGCAACCCATGATTTTGCTTGAACAATCTTCTTTTGAATTTGTTTGCCGTATTTAACTTCACTTTGCGTGCTATAAACGGGGCGGCGAGCACTAAAAGTAAAATGATCGAGCTGCCACTAGCAACAAGACCTATGCCCAAACCTGTAAAATATGGTATCATAGACGAAAATACAAAGTCATTAGTTTCGGGCAACTGAATTCTTCAAAAAATAATAGATTGATAATGATTATAAAAAATGCTATCACTACCTGTAAATGGCCTTTTTGTTCTGACGATGACGCATCCAAATTTCATCAATGGATCTCCATAGGTACCATCTTGACACCGGCAATGGAATGTCCCAGGCATATTGATGCAAATTCCATAACATGGATATCCTTCCTTGTGTTTACATTCGTCAATGTCTGCGCAAAGCACGTAAAAGTATGAATGAATAAGCAATATGCATGCTAAATAGGTAACTAGCTGGACTTCTGCAGGTAGTAGAACTAGAAAATTATTTTGCTGGTGCCTATATAACATTGTAGTGAATAAATAAGCATAAAGCTATCAATTAATTTGATCTTTACCTTCACATTTTTTTGGTTTAGAAGCATTGCCATTGAAGCCAGGAGGGCACTGACAGTCATATCCTTCGTGTGTGTTTCTGCAATTGCCGTAACATGGATAGATGTCTGGATAATCACATTCGTTGATATCTGGATGTACCGCAACATAGAAAAAACAAAAATTAGTTATACCCATGTAGCTTCATGTAGTCAATGAGTAGAAAATGTATATAACACACAAGTCGATCGGCTAAGAAATAACTATTTACTGATCAATGCCGCACAAGCTGTCATGGAACTGATTTTTGTGATGAACTACTTTCTAATTCGGGAGAAGGTAAAATAACCTCATCATGATCTACTTTCCTCCCATTCACTTCTTTCGAGAGAAACTCCTTCTCTAGAAAAGATTCATTCTTAGCAATGGATATCTTGCCTTCGTATCTTGTGATAGAAGGTGTACCCAAAAGTTTCCTTTGAGTATTCTATGAAGACACACTTCTCCTATTTGGGTTCGAGCTTATCAGGTTGAAACTTTTTCACATAAGCATCTCAGCCCCAAACTTTAGGAAACGACAACTTTGGTTTCTTGCCAAACCACAATTCATAAGGCGTCGTCTTAACGGATTTTGATGGTGCCCTATTTAAAGTGAATGCAACTGTCTTTAATGCATAACCCTGAAATGATAGTGGTAAACTGGTAAGAGACATCATAGATCGCACCATATCCAATAAAGTGCGGTTACGACGTTCGTACACACCATAACGTTGTGGTGTTCAATGTGGCGTGAGCTATGAAACTATTCCACATTGTTTTAAATGAAGGCCAAACTTGTAACTCAAACATTCTCCTCCACGATCAGATCGTATAAACTTTATTTTCTTGTTACGATGATTCTCCACTTCATTCTGAAATACTTTGAACTTTTCAAATGTTTAAGACTTGAGTTTCATTAAGTGATATACCCATATCTGCTCAAATCATCTGTGAAGTTCAGAAAATAACAATACCTGCCACGAGAATCAACACTCGTCGGACCCCATACATCGGTATGTATTATTTCCAATAAGTCACTAGCTCATTTCATTGTTCCGGAGAATGGAGTTTTAGTCATCTTGCCCATAAGGCACGGTTAGCAAGCATCAAATGATTCATAATCAAGTGATTCCAAAAGTCCATCTTTATGGAGTTTCTTCATGCACATTACACCGATATGACCCAAACGGCAGTGCCACAAATATGTTGCACTATCATTATAAGCTTTGCATCTTTTGGCATCAATATTATGGATATGTGTATCACTACGATCAAGATTCAATAAACCATCAACATTGGGTGTATGACCATAAAAGGTTTTATTCATGTAAACAGAATAACAATTTATTCTCTATCTTAGATGAATAATCGTATGGCAATAAACATGATCTATTCATATTTATGCTCAATGCAAACACCAAATAACATTTACTTAGGTTCAACACTAATCTCGAAAGTATAGGGAGTGTGCGATGATCATCATATCAATCTTGGAACCACTTCCAACACACATCGTCACTTCACTCTCAACTAGTCTCTGTTTATTCTGTAACTCCCGTTTCAAGTTACTAATCTTAGCAACCGAACAAGTATCAAATACTCAGGGGCTACTATAAATACTAGTATGGTACACATCAATAACCTGTATGTCAAATATACCCATGTTCACTTTGCCATCCTTCTTATCCACCAAATATTCAGGGCATTTCCGCTTCTAGTGACCATTTCTTTTGTAGTAGAAGCACTAAGTTTCAGGCTTTGGTCCAACTTTGGGCTTCTTCACGGGAGTGACAACTTGCTTGCCATTCTATTTGAAGTTCCCTTTCTTTCCCTTTGCCCTTTTCTTGAAACAAGTGGTCTTATCAATCATCAACACTTGATTCTCTTTTCTTGATTTCTACCTTCGTCGATTTCAGCATCACGGAGAGCTCGGGAATCGTTTTCTTCATCCCTTGCATACTATAGTTCATCATGAAGTTCTAGTAACTTAGTGATGGTGACTAGAGAACTTTGTCAATCACTGTCTTATCTGGAAGATTAACTCCCACTTGATTCAAGTGATTGTAGTACCTAGACAATCTGAGCACATGCTCACTGCTTGAGCTATTCTCCTCCATCTTTTAGCTATAGAACTTGTTGGAGACTTCATATCTCTCAACTCGGGTATTTGCTTGAAATATTAACTTCAATTGCTGGAACATCTCATATGGTCCATGACGTTCAAAACGTCTTTGAAGTCCCGATTCTAAGCTGTTAAGCATGGTGCACTAAACTATCAAGTAGTCATCATATTGAGCTAGCTGAACGTTCATAACGTCTGCATCTGCTCCTGCAATAGGTCTGTCACCTAGTGGTGCATCAAGGACATAATTCTTCTGTGCATCAATGAGGATACACCTCAGATCACAGACCTAGTCCGCAATTTTGCTACTAACATCTTTCAACTTAGTATTCTCTAGGAACATACAAAAAACATAAGGAAGCTATAATGTGAGCTATTGATCTACAACATAATTTGCAAAATACTATCAGGACTAAGTTCATGATAAACTAAAGTTCAATTAATCATATTAATTAAGAACTCCCACTTAGATAGACATCCCTATAATCATCTAAGTGATCATGTGATCCATATCAACTAAACCATGTCTGATCATCACGTGAGATGGAGTAGTTTTCAACGGTGAACATCACTATGTTGATCATATCTACAATATGATTCAGGCTCGACCTTTCGGTCTTAGTGTTCCGAGGCCATATCTGCATATGCAAGGCTCGTCAAGTTTAACCCGAGTATTCTGCTTGTGCAAAGCTGGCTTGCACCCGTTGTATGTGAACATCGAGCCTATCACACCCGATCATTACGTGGTGTTTCAGCACGAAGAACTATAGCAACGGTGTATACTCAGGGAGAACACTTATACCTTTAATTTAGTGAGAGATCATCTTATAATGCTACCGTCGATCTAAGCAAAATAAGATGCATAAAAGATAAACATGACATGCAATCAATATAAGTGATATAATATGGCCATCATCATCTTGTGCCTTTGATCTCCATCTCCAAAGTACCGTCATGATCACCATCGTCACCGGCGCGACACCGTGATCTCCATCGTAGCATCGTTGTCGTCTCGCCAACTATTGCTTCTACGACTATCTCTGCCGCTTAGTGATAAAGTAAAGCAACTACATGGCGATTGCATTTCATACAATAAAGCGACAACCATATGGCTCCTGCCAGTTGCCGATAACTCTGTTACAAAACATGATCATCTCATAAAATAAAATTTAGCATCATGTCTTGACCATATCACATCAGAACATGCCCTGCAAAAACAAGTTAGACGTCCTCTACTTTGTTATTGTAAGTTTTACATGGCTGCTACGGGCTGAGCAAGAACTGTTCTTACCTACACATCAAAACCACAATGATATTTTGTCAAGTTAGTGTTGTTTTAACCTTCAACAAGGACCGGGCGTAGCCACATTCAGTTGAACTAAAGTTGCAGAAACTGACACCCGCCAGCCACCTATGTGCGAAGCACATCAATAGAACCAGTCTCGCGTAAGCGTATGCGTAATGTCGGTTCGGTCCGCTTCATCCAACAATACCGCCGAATCAAAGTATGACATGCTGGTAAGCAGTACGACTTGTATCGCCCACAACTCACATGTGTTCTACTCGTGCATATAACATCTACGCATAAACCTGGCTCGGATTCCACTATTGGGTAACGTAGTAATTTCAAAAATATTACTACGAACACGCAAGATCATGGTGATGCATAGCAACGAGAGGGGAGATTGTTGTCCATGTAC